CAGCTATTTGAAACACACCCACATACACACACACACACACACACACACACACACAGGCAGGCCTCCTTGTCAGGTGATCGTCCATTCCTGAAGGCCTCAGATGATGACACATTCAGCAAGCATGTGTCTTGTGCCACGAGTTCCTAGTCACAGGGTCTTGCTCAGATATGTACACAGCCAGTGAGGTGCTCTGGAAAGTGCACCGCAGGCCTGTTACCTCCCTCCTTCTGGGGCTGGGATAGCATCTTCTCTTCTTCTTGACCCAAGGTTGTGCCCTGTCCTCACTTGAAGGTGTGATCCCTCTCCTAGGTCTTCTCCACCATGTGTCTCTTCTGTCTCATGTTACAAGTACATTTTTTTCACATCTGATCTCTCACTGGCATTTTTCAAAAGCCAAAAGCAAGCCAAGCACATTGACACACACCCATATCACAGCACCCTACAGACTGAGGCCCAAGGAGGGTGAGTTTGAGGTGAGCCAGGGCTACACCGCTGGCTCAAGGCAGGCACAAACCACATAGCAAGATTCTACCTCAATAAGCAAATAAAGAAACCAACCAGAAGCATGTTTCCTTCATCTTTGAACTTCCGCCATCCCTCACCCCTGTCTCAGGTTTCTGATTGAGGCAGAGAACATCTGAGCAAGTATTTGTTGAGCAAATAAGGGAGGGGAGAGGAGGAGGGAGGAAGGGAGGAAGGGAGGAGGGAGAGAAGCGCTATACTACGTGCCCTGGGCACACGTGGAGCTGAGTCACACCCTGTTGACCCAGATGTAGCGCATCTCACCCACTCCTGGGCATAAAGTCTTAGAGACTCAGGCTCTGATTCCAACCCCATGTGAGTTGGATACCTGACACCTCTCCCACTGTGGGGTGGCCAGGAAGTCCCATTTGGACCCTTGGAAGGGGCTGGCTACTGGAGCAAGGCAGGTCTGAGGCCAGGCCGCCACGCAGGGCTGTGTGACCTTGTTGGGCCTTTCTCTTAAGGCCTCACTCTTCTTCTCCTGAAAATGGATCTGCTGCCTCCCTTCCTAGGTGCTATGAGGGGTCAACATAGCAAGAGCCAAGCGCCTGTGCAACTGTCCTGGGAGCCAGGCTTTCTTTCCCACTGCTCCCTGCTTTTGGACAGCTCTGACTGATACAGTGACTTTCTTTGTGCAGAACCAAAAGGGTTCCTTGGCCCCCAGAATGTCTGCTGTTCTGTCCCAAGGGTGCTCGGAGCCCTTCTCCAGCCTTGTGGCCGATCCCTCTGCCCCTCCTCCCAGATCTGCCTCCCTGTGTGTCAGGCTCAGCAGGGCTGAGGATGCCAACTGCTTCCCGGCCCTGGGGCCCTGGCCATGCTGTGGTTAACCAGTAGCCAGGTCAGCTACACACATCTGGCCCCATGACCAGTCTTATGCTCCCACACTGCCGGAAGTGTGGCCCAGAGCAGTACACCTGTGCCCAGAATGGAACAGATGCCATCCAGAGCCCCCAGACTCCTCTGATGAAGACACCAGGCCAGGAAAACTGGACTGAGTCCATCCTAGTCCTGCGGCTAAGTTCTCAAGGGACCTGAAGTCTCAGTTTGGTGACTGATGAACTGGGAAAGATGGACTGTGTGGAACACAGGCTACTGTCACAGCAGCCAGCCCACTGAGACTATCTTCCCATGGATCTATGTCCCTCACTGGAGGAGAAGCTCCTTGAGGTTGGGATCCTTCTCATCCTTCCCCAGGTGCTCAGATCCCTGCCCAGGCCCTACCTAGCAACACCAAGGGCTCACTGCTTCGTCCTTAACCAATGGATAAATGGCTCCTGTCCCTCCGGGGCCTGCCATGTGCTGTGTGCAGGGTTGTATGTTTATCAGCTGATGTCATCCTCACAACAGCCTTGCTCACATGTGGAGCTTGTCTCCATCCTGATGGCACTGTCAGGTGAAGCCTAACTGAAGGAGTAGGCCCCGGGGAGCGTGCCCTTGAGGAGCAGATTGGCATTTGGACTTCTGTTTCTTGGCCACCATGAGGTGAGCCGCCCTCCTCCACCACCTACTTCTGCCATGACGTTCTACCCTGCTTGCTTTGGGCTCAAAGACAGCAGAGCCAAGGGACCACGGACTGAAACCCTGAGTCACAGCAAACCTTTCCCCCTTGTCAACTAATCTCCTCGAGATTGTTAACATACTGCCATTCTTAACTGCCCAATAAAGCAACCCACCATCATATCTTTGCCCTTGATGTCATGCACCACTGAGTTATTATCTCCCTAACTCTATAACCACCCATGCAGCATGTATTCCCACTTAACAGAAAACAAAACCGAGGTTTTGGAGAGGTTAGGCAAAAGCCCAGAGTCGCTCAGGTATGAGTGGCAAAGCTGGAATTTAAATGCTTCTTATAATTTTCTAAACAGGAAATATTCATACACTAAAAGCACATTAGGGTACTGATAAAGGTTTCACACCTGGGGACTTCAGCGGGGACAGTGGCCCTGTACTCTTGGCTAATAGACAAATCTGAATGACACACTCAGGCCTGAGTCTGTCTTGTGGAAAGAGCTATAAATAGCTGGAACAGCCTGTGAGACAACCGTGGTGGGGAGGAGTCCTGAGGGATGGGTGGAGGTTGGCCATACAGGAAGGCCGGAGGCCCACACAGAGCGACGGGCTGGCACAGGAGTGGCTCAGCTTCACTGCCAGCTTTCTGGGTATCTGTTGTTGGGTGTCTCATAGGCTCCCCGGGCCAGCTATGCCAACTGCACACCTCACCACGTGGTCCTCCCCTGGAGCCCTCATCTCAGCAAGGGTTATGCCACACGCCCCCCAGTCCACACCAGATTCCCAGCACGCTCTCCTCTGCTTCCTTCAGCTGTATCTGCCCATGCCCTCGGCCACCACCTTAGCCTCGGCCACTGCTGTCTTCATTGAGACTGTCACAGTAGTCTCCTGTCCCTTCCTTAACCTCCAACCCATTTTCTTTTTCTTTTTCTTCTTCTTTTTTTTTTTTTTTGTCTTTTTCCTTTTTATCGGTACTGGGGATCGAACTCACAACTGTCTGCTTGCAAGGCAAGCGCTTATGCCACTGAGCTAAATCCCCAGCCCCCTCCAACCCATTTTCTACCCAGAAGTCCTAAGGCATCTTCCAGGAACTCCCCATGGACCGCACCAGTTCTCTCTCGGCTTAGCCTGTCCCTTCTACCCCAGCCACGGCGCCCGCTGGAGAGGAAGAACCAGGTTTCTCAGCTTCTCCAGCTCCATTTTCCCACGCACATCTGGCCAGCTCTCAGTGTGCTCTGTCCACCTGTCCTGTAGGGCCCTTCTGGTCTGACCTTTTCCATCTGCTCCCTTCTTTCCTGTGCCTGGGTCTCCATGCATCTTTTCTAAGTGACACTTATCACCCCTGGATATGTTTTTATGGCTCCCTCTCTATGTTTTATCCTCCATTGTATCCCTCAGTGTTCTACACACACTACCACACCAGGAAGCAGTGATCTTACCATATTTTCCTGAAAATAAGACCCAATCAAGAGATCAAAAATGCCAGCCACAGTCAACCTATCTGCCTTCCTTATATTATGCAGCAGCCAATGAGCAAGAGATAAGTGAGGTACAACCTTCTGCATGACATTGGCCATCACCATAGTAGCAACCAGCTATTAATTACAGCTGGAGTTTATTTTCCAGTTAGGTCTCTTTTCAGGGAAGCACAGCATTTCTTGTTATATCTTGGAGTTACCTTTTCAGTTCTTGGATCATAAACATTTATAGGTTAGAGTAAGAATTCTTAATTACTCTCCTCTGGACAGGGATTTACAGATCAATGGTTGTGTCCCATCCTTATTCTCAAAGCTGTGGGTTAACCTCATTTCTGTTAGAATGGTTATTATCAGAAAGAGAACCTGAAAGGGTGTCAGTGAGGATGTGGAGAAAGGAGAATTCCTAAATACTGTTGATAAGAATGCAAACTAATGCCACCATTTTGGAAAACAGTATGATGGTTCCCCAAACATTAAAAAGAACCAGCAGTCCCACTACTGGGTGCTCACCCAAAACAAATGAAATTGGTATATCAAAAAGAAATTGGCATAGCAAAATAAATGAAATCGGTATGCCAAAAAGATTCCATGTTTTTTGCAATACTATTTAAAGTGACAAAGATATAGAATCAGCCTAAAGGTCCACAAGATGGATGAGTTAATAGAAAATGGAATATTACAGCCTTAAAAATGGAAATCCTGTCCCTTAAGAAAATGTGGGTAAACTGAAGGATATCACATCAGAGTGAAATTAGCAAACACAGAAAGACAGATACGGTACTGTGTGAACACATTCATATTTGGAGTGTAAAAGAAGCTGATCTCATAGAAGTACAGGATAGAACAGTATCTACCTGAAAGAAGGGAGGAGATCAATGGGTACAAGGTTATAGTTAGAGAGAAGAATAAGTTCTGTGCTCCATTCCCCAGAAGGGCGACTATCACAGTAAGGTATTACATATTTCAAAATAGGTAAAATTGTAACTGTTCTCCTATGAAGAAATGCTAAATGCAGGAGATGATGGATATGCTAACTATCCTGGCTGGATTGATGAGCAATGTGTACAAGTATCAAAACATCAGCTTGTACCCAATAAAATACGGGCAATTAGAAAGTATCAATTAACAGTAAAGCTGTGGCTGAGGTAAAAACAGGTTATTATTTAGACTGCAGCCCCTCCAGGGGGAGAACCACCAGTGTCTCCTGAGATCTGTGCCATGTTGGAACTTAGGACCTGGGAAACCAAGCAAGCAGCCTGCCTCCCTGCTAAGCAATAGTGAGCAATAGGTGCACGGCCTAGAGTCAAACATCCCACTTCCCCTACCAACCTTTCCCTGTCCCCCCCCCCCGTTGGAAAATGGGAACCAGAAATCTGAGCATCTCTTGGGAGGTTGAACATAGCAAATAATGTTCTGTATCTCATTTTATTTTGATATACGTGATTGAAAGAATAACTATTGTAAAGATAATGAAATATACTATGATACCTATTACTGTTATCCTGGTAACCTGGTGTGAAGTTCTGTACCAATTTCATTCCATGGTCTCAGTTGGCTTTATTCTGTCTTGTTCTGTTGTATTTTACTACTTTCAAAATTAAAAAAAAAACAACAGGTTATTACACTCAATGAATAGATGAAGAAATTGAGGCCAGACACTGCAGATCCAGGATTCAATTCCAAAATACTGCACATGTGGGCTCTGCTCACTCCACTCTGACTCTAAACTGAAGAAGAAAGGAAATCTATTCACAGCTCCAGGAAGCCTCCCACGATCCTTTCCTCCATACCAGCCTGCCCGGGAATGACCGACACCATGCCCTTCTCCCAGTGTCCACTAGTCACCAACATCAAGAGGACAGCACACGCTGTCCGACTAGCCCAGCCCAGCCTCTGCACACATACCTCGTGTTTGCTGCAAGCATCTTGCTGAGGAGCCCGGCCCACAGGCGTGGTGGGCACAGCACTGGCAGACAAAGCTCCCCGGATTGTCCTTTGGGCTCTCGAGGCTCTTGGTTATGACGGCTTCTGCTAAACTGGTCTTCTCTTCACTTTTCTCTGCAGTGTCTAAAAACCAAGCGAACAGGCAAACACATAGTCAATATTTACCTTAGAAACGAAAGCAGGCGGCAGCTCTCTTCCTTGTTTCCCAACTTGGCTGGCTCTTGCTGCTCTTTCTCCTGCACTCTCGCTGCAAACCTTCTCTCCTTATTGCTTTTCCCTGTCCCCTGACTGCTGTCTCTTTCAATCCCTGCTGTGTGCACTGGTTGCCGGGCTCCAGGGCTTTGCCCAGCAGGTGTGCCCTTTTGACTAGCTATAAAAGTTATGACAGGCAATAAACTGGGATTCTGGGGTTGGGGATGAGAATCAGTGGTAGGGTTCCTGCCTTGCATGTACAATCATGTACATGCAATCATGTTTGATCATGAAAAAAAAAAACCACAGAAAAAAACCTAATAAACTAGGATTCAGCTTCAAGGCAATAAACCAGGAACATAGGCTCACGGTCTCCTTGGATATTAGGTGGCCCATAGCTGATCAAAGGCATTGGAGACAGGTTCAGAACTAAACCCACCCTCGTGGCAGAGTGAACTACTTGCTTCTAGGTATTCATCTCCCCACGTGGAAATCAAAGCTGTTGTGGGTAGGAGCTTTCCAGCCAGGGCCACCCTCTGGGCACCCTGGCATCTATGAGCAAACGCAAGACAAGGTATTACAGGGAACATGAGTGGAAGCCATGAGCCAACATGGTTAAGAAGCAAGGATGTCTTTGCCACTTTCTTCTTCTCCATCTGCTGATGGGACTCCAGTGCTCCAGAGCGAGTGGCTGCCCTCTACTGACTGTCCTGTCACAGACTAGGATCAATAAACAAAGCCAGCAGCCTGCAGGTCTTGTGTGTTACAGCAGCTCATGTTACCCTGTCTGATATAGCACAGAATGTACAGGACTTGTTTTATGGTCCAAGTCAGTGATCCCTTTACTAGTGCCTGGAACACTTGCTCAGCAGCACTAGATTTGTGCATGAAGTCCTACCCCAAGCATTGTGTCTGCCACAAAATGCCTCCTGATCATCACGATGCACTCTTAGCTTCGTCCAGATCCCTCCCAGGTCATGCACATAGACCTTCTGTGTTTGCCACCTCACACACGTCTAAAGATCCATCTGGTACTGGAGTTCAGCGTGTGTACTGGGGAGCTGAAACCACCACTGAATAGTTTTGTAACAGTGGGCAAGTTACATCACTAACCTCTCCGCGTTCTGTTTTGATTGAGTTATACCCTTTTTATGGACATGTGAATTTAAAAGGAGCCAGCACAGATAAAATGTGTAGGAGGATCCCTGCCACGTGATAAGCTCTCCAAGCACATCGGCCATTCCTAGACACCTCCTATGTGCAGGTACTGGCTGAGATCTGAGCACACAGTCTTACCATTGTGCCCAAGTTTCAGATCCCCCAATGGATCACGGGGACCATGGAAGAAGCGATGACCAGATCTGAATCAGTACAACATCTGGAATACAGGGAAGGCATTATAAATGCTTATGGTTGATGCACTGTGTCAACTTGAGAAGTTTAGAAGTTTAACTGAAGGACTCAGCAGGGAGCCAGGATTACTTTGTAAGTATCCTCATCTCTTGAAAGAGGAGGGCACAGAGATTTTGTGAGTACTACACCTGCCCTGGAGCACAATACAAGGGAGGAAAAGAGGCTTACTTTTGCCCCGCTTTGTTCTGATTGCTTTTGCTGGCTGCTTCCTTGAAGGTTGCCCTTCAGCTATACCACCCTGCCTTGGAATCAGCGGATTACAGACTGAAACCTCCAAAAACTGTAAGCTAAATAAATTTTTCCTTCCTTCATTTTGGGTGTTGGCTATTTTGTCCCAGCAGAGAAAGAAAAGTAACCAAGATATTCTCCACATGGAAAAGATGAAAGAAAGAATAAAAAAGTACAAAAACTGAGCACAATAGAGCTCTCTTCCTGGATTCTTACCGGAAAAGCAGCCCTGTGTATACAGTCGCTCTGGACCTGGCCTCCACTTTGCTAGAAGAGGTATTTCTTCTTTGAGTAACTTGGTCAGTTCAGAGGGCAGAGCCGCAAAGCTTTGTTCTTTCCATCCAGGCAGAGACGCCATCTCTTCCAGGCGCGGCCATCTGCTGTGTGCTTCCTGGCTCTGCAGCCCAGGCTTCGTATGGACATTTTCAGTTCTTGGGTGATCAGGGCAGTTTTTCTCACAGCTCTGCAATTATTCTCTTCCTATTACCAAGAAAGAGTGATTATTGAATGGTCCCTGGCCGCCTAGGGAGACTGGGAAGGACCCATTTCGGAGGGACTACCCAGCTCCACACATGGACCCTTTTGAACTCGGTGGCCACTCCGTCTGGTGGATTTCTTTCTCCTCTCTCAGGTTTTCTCATTCTAGCATTGAATCCAAACAGACTTGACATGCATCTTGGCAACATGTCAGCATTTTATTTCTCTCTACAATGCCAACCATGCAAGACCCCATCAATATTGCTTCTTCTGTCCAGTGTATATCAATTCCTGTTTCTAGTTTTGGAGAATTGGAAGACTGTCTTTGAGTTCATCCAGGTTATTGTTTAAAACATTCAATAGAACAGAACCCTACAGCGTCGCTCTAGAGATGTCACTCTTTCCCGGAGCTGTGGAGGGGTAATGCAGGTTGGCAGAGGTGAGGAGTGATGCTGGATACACCAGGACCCAGTTTAGGAAGAGTTGCTACATATTTTTACATGCACAGCTTTTAATTATTTACATTTGTCTTTTTAATGGAAAATGAAACAAAATTTCATGACAATATAATAAAAGAATAATAATCGCTAACATACTATGCATCATTTTCTACAAAGTGAGCTACTGTGTCTGAGCCCTATACTTAGTGGGCTTCACAGCTTGATGGTGCCACTGGAGGAAACTGACAAAGGTGTAACAATGATCACTCTTGTCTCCTGGGTGTTAGGAACTTATCTCAGGACAGTTCCTGTTTATTCTATAGAGATATGACTTAATTATTAAATTCGGACCCCAAAGCACTCAGACATCTGGAATATCTGATACAACCTAATCCTTAAGTGCTACTAATGGCTTTTTGGGATGGGAAAGATCCATGACTGGAGACTGTTTTACTTTCTTTAGAAGGAACGAAGCTCATTTCTATTCTGATCCCGTTCTTTCTCTGCTCACACACGGGCCTGACTCCCCCTGCTAGTAGAATAAGGCCAACTCTTTCACTGGGCATTCAGCGACCTTTGCGATCAGGCCTCAATCTATCTTTCCAGTCTACTCAAGATAAGATTTACCTCTGCGTAAACCCCCAGAGGGGTTGGGACCAGCCCTCCTCTCCTCACTCGTTCACTCACATCCGAAATACTTCTGGGATACCTATGTAGCATACTCGGTGCTGGTCCCTGAGGACGGATACTCTCAGGACATACCTATCTCCCTGGAGAGAGCTCTAGTGTTTTGCAATTTCTGCCCCATGGAATGTGAAGAATAAGAGATGACTGCATCAGAGAGCAGGCTGGGACAAATTACTGTGATGGGGCCACACAGGGGCAAGGCAGGAGCAAAAGTTCAGGCTTTGCAAAGGTCACTTCGAGAGTCCCAGGAGTGGAATCTACCTACCCTGCAGGCCAACCACCTACAGGAAAAGAGCCTGAGGCCGGGATGCCTGCAAACCTGGGGTTTTTGCCTCAGCGCTGCTCTAACAGCTGAGTGACTGCGCTGGTTTGTTTCCTCCAAAACCCATGGTGAGTTTTGCCTTTGTGGTCATGTTTGAGGATCTCCTGTGGTGATTAGGACATGAAGTGGATTAATGGATTTCTGTCATGAATTTTTGGTCTCCTGGAACCAGGTTAGCCACTGACAGAGCTGGTCCTTAGAATGCCAGTCTCCGTCATATTTTGCCTCTTTCTCTCTTTCTTTCTTTTTTTTTTTTTTTTTTTTTTTTTTTTGTCTTTTTCATTTTTATCGGTACCAGGGATCGAACTCACGACCGCCTGCTTGCAAGGCAGGTGCTTATGCCCTGAGCTAAACCTCCAGCCCCTATTTTGCCTTTTTCACACACGCCTGTTTCCCTTTTCGCTTTCTGCTTTGAGTCAAAACAGCACGAGGCCCTCTGCCACAGCTGAGAAACCCCAGCACCGTGGTCCTGGGCATCCTGGCCTCTGGAACTGGAGACCAAAATTAACTTTTTTATTTATAAATTGGTTACTTGCCAATCTGCTGAAAACCTAGACAGCAAACTTGTGCCAGTCCTTTCCTGTCCTGTGGGCTGTAGTTGCCCACTCTGTCCAGCGAGGTGGCCAGTGGTTACCTGTTAAGACCCTTCCTTCTCTCTATCGAGCCAGCTCAGGAGTTATCTCTGACCCCCACGCCGATCCTCTTCCCCCACAGCATTGCCACAGGCAGGCTCACTCCTGTGAGCACTGGGTGATTTCTGGATGAATCTCTGTTTTCTCCCAACTGACCATGAGCTCCTGACCCCAGCTCGCTGTCTCATAATTATTGGGAAAGTGGTATACATCCGTAAGCCTAGAATTTCGGGAGGTTGAGGCAGAAGGACCACAAGGTCGAGCCCAGCTTGGGTAACTTAGCCAGTTGGTGAAATACTGCATCAAAATTTTAAAAAGGGCTGAGATGTAGTTCAGTGCCAAGACCTTGGGTTTGATCCTTGGTACCAAACGGGTGAGGGAAGGAAAAATACACAGCATTGAATTTATTGTTACGAGAAACATTCCTAGATCTGTAATTCTGGCGTTGTCCACAAGGGGGAGATTTTCTGCAAATGGCCACAGCAGAAACAGCACTTGGGTATCCCTGAAGCCCTGGGAAGATGCAAAAGGGACTTGGAAGGTCTTTCCTCAGGCCCTAGAGAGGGTCTGTGCCAGCCCCTTTCCCTCTGCCCATAAAGTATCAGCCAGTCAGACAGCAGCACAGGCCTGAGCCACCATGACCAGCCTGGCCTCACCATTTTCATGCTTCTCTGCTGGCTGTGCCAGGCAGGACGGTGACCTAGCCCTTGCTGACCTCTCTCCCAGTCCTCACCGTTCCTCCCATGCCCTGCCTGTGTCACCACATGTCCCTAGGGCTCTCCAGACTCTCTCCTGATTGCACCATACCTTTTCTGGTTTCCCAGCCTCCCACACTGCTTCCTCCACTAGATTATTCCCCTCTGCCTTCCTTCCGGGCCAACATTTATTGGTCTTTGAGATTCAGTTTAGGAAG